ATAATACTAAAATAATAAACAATTTATTATTCATATATATATATATATATATATATATTATTGAATATATTTGACAACTTTAATTATCACATAATTAAAATGTCCAAATATTTATTTATATATATGTTTGAGTATTTAATCATATTGTCATACAATATAATACACACGATATATAAATAAAGTGCAACTTTACTCCACTTAAATATTCTACACTCTCATGTGTTCTATGTGTGTGACCCTATTCTAGGCATCTATAAAATTGGCCATAGTATCGATTAAGTACTACAAGTGATAAATGGTATCTAGCAACACATTATCACCCCCAAATTATAGATTAAAGCTCTTGGAACAATTCCTTCAACGACACATCCTATTTGTATAACCCTTATCCCTTTATCACTAATATCTTGATTTAACACAAGGTATGGGGTGTGTCACCTTGTTAAAGTTAAATCGATGGTTTACTGATTCTTCGATTGACTTGTGGGATTCAAATAACATATTTATTTGGGTATGGCCATGCACTTCCCAAGTCACATCAATCAGTGGGCCCTAAGATATTATACTTCTTCAAAGAAGGGATAAATTCTCTCCACGTCATTCACATCTTCGCTTAAGTTTCATTGCATACCCAAAACATAACTGTACATGCACCAATATTTCAGATGGCATAAATCATGCCTCAAAGTATACAACTCAACTTACCAAAGAATGTAATGACTTCAAGTCGAAGGATAATTATACTAATGGTCGCATGAGAATAATATTAACACCTTAACTCAAACCTATATATTATTCTCATAGCGGGTCAATCCAGCAACATATCCAATATGGTTGCATATGTAACACCCTAATCCGTCCAGGTCTGCAGCCCCTTTCGGACTAAAGTATTAACTTGGTAATCGTAAAAATTTAAAACATTTCAAACACTTTTATTTATCACAACAAAATTTTTCATATCATAAACAGTACGGAGTTTTCAATATTGCGGAAGCTTTACCAAATCATAATTACAACATAATTTATTTATGTTCTTCAGTTCAGAACCATCACATCCATTCCGACAATCTCGCCTCTGTCTGCCTCCAGGATAACGTCACTTCATTCTTTCTATTAACCTGCGTGTAGCAAATAAAACATAATACACGCTCAGCGTTGAAGCTGAGTAAGCATATCTAATGCGTCGAACATCCATATAAACTGAATCTAAATTCACAATCAAATCATTTGATATCATGCACATAATGTTCTGTTCAGATATTCAATAATCATAAGTCAGTACTCATCATTCATTATTCAACATTTATATTCATATTCAACGTTCATCGGTTATTCATAATATTCACAATATTTAATTCAATAATCATTATTCAATATTCATTCATATTCAATGGTCATCTTTCATTCATAATAATCACAATATTCAATTCAATATCGTCATTCAATATTCATTCATATTCAATATTCAACATTTGACAATATCCTTAAATTATTCTTAGTCTAAGGCCAATCACTTTAATATTTGTCAACCCTTACACGAATTCTAGTTTAAATAATAAAACTATATTCCAGTATAAAATATTCCTAAATAATCCTTAAGCTAGGCCTAGTTTAAGATAAAAGGGTTTTAAAAATCTTAAACTTACCTTCACTTAAGGCCAACCAAAAACCGACAACGTAGTGTTCACTGTTGGGTGGGTGGTACCCCCAAACGAGTAGGTACTCAAGTTTGGTTCTTGGATCCCGTACGTACGTTTTAACCCTAGCCACCGGGGTTCTTACCCGCAAGGTCTAACTTAAATAGGTATATCTTAGAGGTCTTCTAGATACCTTTCATATCAACATTAATATGGGTATATCTTAGAGGTCTTCTAGATACCCTTAACAATATATTATTTTCACAATCATCAATATATCCATTATGATTTAATCATTCATAATTATCATTTTTAATCAGAATACTTATTAAGATTTAATCATCATAATTATCAATCAATAATCATTACCATAATCATCATATCAATCAACATAATATTCAATAACAATTAGCGGCCTAGCTTCGGGTGTTAACACCCTAACTTACCGTCATGCATCACATAACATTTTATTTGTTAAAAATATTACTTTTAATGTGAAAAATCATTTTTATAATGATCATAATCAATTGGTATCAAAAATAGGATTTTAGAGCTCAAAAATAACATTTTCAGACAAATTTTCAGATCAGAAATTCGGGGAATCAATCCAGCCCTCTGGATCGATCTATACTATGAAAAATTACTCCCAGGGGATCGATCCATGCCCCTGGATCGATCCAGACAGTGGTGTTTCAGCCACTGTTCATCTTCTTCTTCGTTCAGGTCCAATTTCGGAAATATCGTTTTTAGTTATCGAACTTCAACGAAACTATATAGAGATGTTCTCCAAGGTTCATAGATCATTTTGGAATCATTAGTTCATATTTTTAACATCAATTTAATGATTTATGATTCTTGGTTCTTCAAGCATGTCAAACACAAAACTCAACCAAACGACCGTTTATGAACGTAGAAACGATCTATATGAACATTCTAATCACTAGATATATCTACGGGCTTACCTCGAAGGTAAATGAAGGTTTTGAATATTTTCCGGCGAAACTTCCGGCGACGATAGCTCTCAACTCCGGCGACCTCACACCAATACAACAGCATCACCACGTTCTCCTCACTCCTAGCAACAGAATAGAATGAAACTTTGTAAGAAATGGTGAAGAATTGAAGGAATGGAGATGGTACTTATATAGGAAAATGGTGAAGGATGCTGCCAAGGGTGATGTCTGGTTTCCTGTTCGGGCGGCTAGTGGAGCGGGCTGCGATATTTCTCCGATTCCAAACGCAAGTCCCTGATTGGGACTAATTTGGTCCCAGTCGGGGAACACTTTTTGGTCCAACTTTCTCCGAATTGAAATCCGATTGCACCGTTGCGATCAGACAGTTAAACTCTATCTAACGATATAATTTTTATATTTATTTGTAATACTTTTTCCGACATCATATTTTTGGGTGGTTGACTTTGACAGAGTCAAAATTGATTTAATTGACCTTTACTCAAAAAGGTTCTTACATTTCATTCATATTATTTATTCTCATGATTTATTTCAATAAATCATTTCAAAGTTTACATCATAAAGAATTTCTTTATTTATTCTTAATTTGGGCCTGGACACAGGTTCCTAATCAAGATTACACAATTAGTCAACATTTTGGATTTATCTCTATGAGACTTATCCAGATTTTTGATATTAGATGTCAAAACAAATTTCGTATCGGCCAAAGCCCAACAACAATTTATTTTAATCAAAACAATTTGATTAATTGAATACTTATTCATTAATAATTCTAGGGTATATTTTGGGGCGTTACAGCATACGTATAGATTCAGATAACACTTTATCTATAGCCTATGAGACACAACTATCTCATCTCATACGTATTAGTCTTGATATATTATGATGTTCGTATTGTCATAATATTCGACTAAGGATATTTTAGACGTAGCCTCTATCTTTGTAACAGCCTCATAATCAGAACGTCGTAGTTCTCATCTGTGTTACTAAAGCGCCTACTCTATGGACTAAAGCTATGTTTAAATCACACGAGACGACTTAAACAATCTTTAGGGCCTATTGTTCTTGATATAATCATAGATATGGAATCATAAGTTGGACTCTAGGGCTCACTTATATTCAACAACAGTCAGTGCCGACATGCTTCATGTGTTTATGGAACACTGGGTTCTTAGTTAGGCAGATGGTGGACTAGTTGTCGCAGAGGAGGTGCGGAGGAGAGAGTTTAATCTGCAAAATGTCAAACAAATAGGTGATCCACATCACCTCAGCTGGTGCGGCCGAGAGGGCCCTGTACTCGGCCTCGGTGGATGAGCGGGTGACACGACTTTTTTTTCCGTACTCCAAGAGATTAGATTAGGCCCAAGATATATCAAATAACCTGTAACAGAGCGTTCATCTGTCATATCATTGGCCTAGTCAGAATCAGAGTATGCATGGATGGTTTGTGAGCCACACCGAAATATTCAACCATGATCAATGGTTCCTTTGACATAGCGTAGGATGCATTTCAAAGACTGAAAATCCTGCTTAGTAGGTGCATGCATCCTTTGACAAACATAATTGACAACAAGTTGAATGTCCAGGCGCGCATTTGTCAAATATTGGAGAGAGCCAACCAAGCTGCGGAAGAAAGTGGGATTCTCGAACGGGCGGCTTACCCCCTCCTCGGGCTGCCGTACGGGCAGGGGTGTGGGTGCCGGTTTGCAGTCTTCGACTCCTGCCTTATGGAGGAGTTCACGAGCATATTTTTCCTGGGATAGAATCAGATGGCCCTCTTTGCGTGTCACCTCAAGCCTAAGAAAGTAATGAAGAGGACCAAGATTCTTCATTTGAAATTCCGTTTGCATGGCTTGAATGAATAAGGACATAAGAGAAGAGGCTACTCCCAGTGACAATAATATCATCAACATAGAGAAGAACAATGAGGAAGCCTGTTGAGTCACAAAATAACATAATTTATTCTCTCACTTCTTAGCACTTTTAAAATACTTTTAGTGCATTTTATACCGAAATATTCATATTTTCTAATATTTAGCATTTAAGGCTATTGTTTATGTTTTATACACAAAATGCATGATTTTGAGCAAGATTATATTTTACAATTATTTGGAAGCATTATTTTCCTTGACACAATCTTTTTAGATATATATTTTGGAGCTCAAAAGCAATTAAAGGAATAGAAGAATTGGACCAAGCCCAAATATCTAATTGGCCATCACCCTTTTGACCCAATTGTTAAAGCAAGGAAATAAATAAAAGAAAAAGAAAGAAAGAAACGTAGAAGAGGAAGAGAACCGTCCGGATAGCCTTCTTCAACTCCAACTCTAATTTCAAGTCCTAATCCAAATTGAAGACTAAAGCTGGATTAATTTGTGTATAAAAGAAGCAAAAAGAATCGGTTGAACGTGGAGACGGATAGAGACGAGAGAACAGATCGGAGCAGAGCAGGTGCCGACCTAGGGTTCCGACCCTAGTTCCGGCGATGGTGGAGACAACCATGGATTCCGGCAATGGAGCACGGCAGGGACGGCTAGGGCTACTGTTGACGGCGATTCCATTGGTCCGGCTCTGAGCTTAGTTTGAACTCAGAAGCTAATTCAGGGAGCTTTCTTCCTTTCTTAATTTTATTATGTTTTTTTTTAAAGTTAAAAGTGGTATTTCAGATTTTTATTTCCCAATTTATGAATTTGATATCCAATATTTAAATATGTTTATTTTCAAATCTAATTCTCTGTTGAATGTTTAAGTTAAATTATAAGTGACGAATTGTTTATGTGCTGGTGTTGAATTGTTGAAATTTGATTTATTGATTTATTATTTGTCTCTGAAATTATAAAACCTTCTTAGGCCGAATTGTTTGACAAAAAGGATTGAATCTTTGATTTGGTTGATTTTGTTGAATTAATTTGACTTTGAAAAGGTTTTAGCCTTTGTACTACTGTCAAATCTAAATTCGAAAAAGTGTTTGAAAACTGGTCTTTGTTTAAACTTGGATTAGATGAATTTAGGACGGCCGCCTAAACTTTAATTCCAATTGACAGTTTTAAGATATTGAGTACGTTTATAGCTGAGATTTTCAAAACACAAGTGTCACCTGGTTAATACTAAATTGGCTCCCACCCGATTTTTATTAATCAGAGTTTTCAAGCTAACTATGTTAAATAGATATAGTTTACTGCATAGTTGTTAAGTGATGGTTTCCAAAGAACTTAATGCTCTATTTTTAATTAAATCTGGGGGCAGGTCCTTGGGTTGTTAAGAATAGTAGGGTCTAGAGTTAGGGCAGGTCTTAACATAGGCTATATTAGGAAGAATAGGGAAGAACCGCAGGTGGATCTCTTCTTCAGTTTAACCCTGAGTTTAATTAACAGTTTAGTTTTAGGATTAAGACATAATCAATTGATCAATCAGATTTGTTTAGTTTATTTTCTATTAAAAACTCTAAGTATTTTTAAAAATGGTTTAAGTTAATTATGATTGTCTATGTTATTATAAAGTTTATTGTGTGATTGTTTTTGTGTGTTTGTTTCTCCCTGAGTTTACTTTTGAGTTCGGTTTGCTGCTGTGGTCTTATCTCGTATCTGTTATCTGTTATCCTTTATCTTTATTTTATTTGCATTTTTATCTTTTTTGATTTATCATTCAAACCCCCCATATCTCTTAGTTTTAGTTTTAGATTTCGTTAGTTTTTATTCAATTAAAGTGACAAGTGAACTGATTTTCATAGCCTAAAAAGTATCTTTCCTCGTGAGATCGACCCTTACTTGCCCTATCTATATGTTTTTGATGAATATTAAATCATAAAGAAGGTTAAAAGTTAAGGAAATAAATAATTAATTTGTAGGTGCTACAACACGCCTAACAAATTTTGGCGCTGTTGCCGGGGAAAGATTAACTTTTTATGGAATTCAGTTTGCCATGTTTCAAAAAAATAAAAAAAACCCAAAAAAAAAACAATAACACATGAAAAAACAAAAAAAGTAAAACGAAAAACAAAATGAATAACAAAAAAAATCCAACAATAGCATTTACGATATAATGAGCATATAACAAAAGGTTAATAAAATAAAAAAAGTAAAAAAAAGAGATAAAATGCAAAGCATAAAAAGAACCAATTAAATAAAACAAAAACAACACGAAGTTACAAAGTAGGAAATACAGAGAACACAACTTTTAATAAGCTATAAAAAAAATTAAAAAGTAAATAATAAAAAGAAAAATAATTAGTTCAAGTAAAAAAACAACTAAAGCACTAAAAAAAGTCCGAAAAAAACTGAAAAGGAACAAACAAAAAAAAACAGAACTACCAAAAAAAGGACTAAAAAACAAAAATAATGTACTATATAAAGAGGATAGAGTGTTAAAAACTCAAATGCATTAAAGAAGCTGTTGAAGAAACAAAATGGAAAACATAGGAACAACATTAAAAAAAAATTAAAGAAACCAAACGAAAAAAAAAACAGAAAAAAAAAGCAATACAAAAAATTTGGCCACTTAAAAAAAACATCTACCCTGTAAAAAAAAAATTAAACGAAAGCATGAATAGTCCAAATAGGAAAAAAATCACAAGATAAATTGAATAAAAATCCCTTAGAAGATGTGAGATTCAAAATTTTTAAAGAAAAAATATTCTAAAGTAAAAGTCACATTAAAAAAGATTACGGAAAAAAAAGAAGTAGATCTATTTACATAGAAAATTTTTAAATAAACAAATTCCAGAGAAAAAAACTTGTTCTAGTAAAGGTTTACAAGACAAATTAATTTATGAGTAATGCTAAGACTAGTTTATATTGTTTACTTTGACCTTGTGATTATCTATTTGGTTTGCTTTGGAGTGTTGTTTTAAGTGATCACAGGTTATTATAAGAGTACAATATGGATTCTCCATGTTGTCCCAAGTAGAACAAAGAGTCTAGTCGAAGACATTAAAAGAGGGCAGCAGCTTTCTGGGAGGGAACCCAGATATTTAAACTTTTACTTTTAAGCATTTAATTTTTTTTTACTTGCATTTTGTTTGCCCTGTGTGCTTAATCGTCATATCTTATGACCCCCTCCCCAGCATCTTGCATTTGTTTTATTATTTTTCATGTTCCATGCTGTCAATTGTCTAAGATTTTATGTGCATAAGTTCATCATTTTTATATATTTTACATGCATTGAGGACACTGCATGATTTAAGTGTGGGGGGACGCTTCTGCATTTAGTTATGCATCTTTTAGGAGAAACTTTTGTTTGCATGTTTTCATACACATACTAGGAGCATGAATTGGGTAGAAAAAAAATAGGATTTCATGATGTCAAACCTTGCATGTTGGATACAATTTGGTTAAAAAAGTTAAATTTTTTAAAAGTTTTTGAAGAAAAACAATAATCTTTCACATAAAATCTATATAGAAAAAGAGACTTTCAAGAAAAATTAGAAATCATTATAATTTCTTTTAATCTTTTAGCACTCTTAAGTGTTGCATTTTTTGCATTAAATAGAAATTAATTTTGTAACAAATATGTTTGAATTTCTTTAAAAATGAATTTGCTACTATAAACTTTAAACCATTTCTTTTAAGTCATACCTAATTAGAACTTGTTTTTGTTTAATTTCATACCTTTTAATTAGTTAAGTTCAATGTGCACAATTTATTTAGAAATATATGGAGCAATTTTCTAACTCTTTTTTGTCCTAAGTTACTATTCAAGTAAAGTTAGTCTTAAGAAAATTCTTTTTTCTTTTTCTAAATTTTGGTTATTTGCATATTATCAAGATGCTGAAATGAATAAATATATATACTGGAACACCATCTTAGGTTGGCATGGGTGGCACGACACCTTTGTCCCCTTAAGCAACAGATCCCAAAAGGAAGTGATGTTGTGTATGGAGAAAACTTGAGTTGGAAGAGCAAACCCCTTTTTGGGCCGTACGAATCTCGTCCATAACCAATGTAAAAAATAAGAAAAAGCCGACGCCATTGAGCCAAAAAGAAAAAAGATGCAATAAATGGCTAGGTAAAAATAAAAGAATAAAAGATGAATGAAAATATTGTTTGAGCACTCGAGTTGAAACCCTCGGAATACTTCGTTTATTTAGGTCCAAATTTAGCACATTATATATCGTTGGTCACCATTTTACAAGACCTACCCAAAAATCTAATTTTTATTGAAAACGGACAAGTTTACAAATAATTCATATTTTTGAGTAAATAAATTCCTTATTTATTTTTTATTAAAAAAACGGCTAACTTCTAGCCAGTTTTCGGGTTGTTTCTCTAAACTATTTTTTCTTTCAATTTTTTTTATGAAAATTAGAAAAATGAGAAAAATTTGAATAATATTGAGAAAGGTGAGGGGTCTTATATAAAGTTAGATTAATAAAACATTTTATGTAACTACTTTATCCATAATTTTTAATATAGTTTAAAATATGGATGTTTTCGTGTTTTATCATGTAGATTAATATACAAAAAATTTGTCTTCTTCATATTAAAAAGTTGAAGAAAAAATAATGAGTGTGAATCGTAAAAATAGTGAGATGAAAAAATAATTTACAAACTATAGTTATGAACATTAGAGTTGTAATAATAATATTAATAATCAAATTAAAAATATATCGTTTTTAGATTATTTTCATGGAAGTAGAAAGAGTTTGAAAAGATGAGAATAGTTGAAGAAAATGGAAGAAACTAGAAGAGCTGCAAGAACTAGAAGAACTGGAAGATACTAGAGGGAACTGAAAGTTAAGAGTTTAAGTTCTAAAGAACAGACTCTCGGTATAGTGTGGGTAGAATTGGATCTGCTGCAAAAGCTAGTGGAATCTGGGGGAGAGGAAGCCTCGCATCCACTCCCAAGGCGGTGTAAACGCTGCAGATTTTCAACCCTTAATTTGCCACCAGAACTCATCGTGGAAATTCTAACGCGGCTACCTGTGAAATCCCTCTTGAGGTTCAGGTGCGTTTCCAAATCATGGCATGCTCTAATACCAACGCTTCTAAACAGTGGATGCATATGGATGCATATGAGTAAAATCCCTCTTGAGGTTCAGGCGCTGTGAAATCCACCTCAATAATGATTGCACATGTGGATGCATGTGTGGCATGTTAACACTACAACAAATAAACTCAACTTTACGTATATACTAGCATTTTAACCCGTGTCATGCACGGGGTGAAACATATTTTTTATTTTACAATTTTGGTTTGCTCCATCATTTTTCAAATATCAAACAAAATAAAATATCAACCTTAAAAGATAAATTAATGATAAGACATGAAACATTTACTAATTAACTTTCTACAATACACATTTGAAATTGAAATGTCAGTCTTTTTTAAATTTAAATATTTTGAAAAAAATTGAGGTATACACCGGTTTTTGTGATGTTATAAAGATTACCAAAGATATTTAAAACTATACTTTGAACCCTACTCTTTACTCGTACTCGCAAAACAATAATATAAAATTAATCATAAGTGAATACCGAGTTGGTAAAAAAGAAAACCCCCTAAATAGGAGTAAAACATATATCATAGCTTCAATACAAGAATTCAAACTTAAACTCCTCTAAATAGGAGTAATTAATTAAATTTTGTTTTGATTTACTCTTCCGCACTAACCACACCACATCCCATCCCTATGCAGTCGAAAAAGTCGCCCGGCCCCTTCCCAATCCCATCCTTCTACGATCTCCTTCGTTCTAATCTCAGTTGCTGACGCTGTCAACTTAATCTCAATCCCCTCTCCGCCGCTACCATCTTCTCTATGCGGCAATATAATGATTCCACCGCACTCT